TCCCTCTCCTAAAGAGACCAACCCCTGTGCTGGCTATTTCCAGCCCCCAGCCCCAGCCCAGATCAATTTAGTCTTTCTCTGCACTGATCCCTTCAGAGTCTATTTCCTGGGCTCCCTTACTCTGCACCCTACTTAGGTTTGACCAGTGGGAGGCCAAGACAGAAGACTGGAGGGCAAGAAGAGAGAGCTGAGGGTTTGTTCCTCCTGCCTCCTCCCTGCTTGGCTGTAGCCTTCAACTGTTACTGCTCCAGCCCTGTAGCTCCCCTTCCCCAGCAGTAAGTTTTGGCCAAGCTCTGCCCCTTTAGTGTATGTGCTGCCAAAGCAGCACCCTCTGCTCCTTTAGAATTAGAATCCCAGCCCCAGGAGCCTCACCCTTAAACTGCCACACCTCTGTAAATAGCCCCTTCCTTAAAACTCTTCAGTAAGATCCTTTGGAGAGAGACGCTTCTCGCCAGGGCTCTGCCTGAATCTCCACTACAGTGAATCTGGCCCATGTTACTCCCTTGCAAGTCTTCGTACTATTGTACAAAGATATGCATCAGTAAGCAATACATAGTGCTCTGAATGTTTCACTTTATTATACATGTCACACTGTATATTCCTCTCTGCAACTGTTCATTTGTGTTGCTTTTCTGTTTAAAAGGTTTATTGATGTTGATACATGTAGCTCTAGTTTATTCATTCTGCTCTTCACACCCCACTCCATGGATGTTCAGTGGAATTATCCAGTCTGATGGACACTTGGGTTTCCATTTCTTAGCTGTTATAAACAAGTGTTATGAAAATTCTTGGACATATCTCCTATTTGAATTTTTAACTATGTGGATATGTATTACTTATAAAAATGTACAATGGAGAAAAAAAAAAAGACAAAGAAGCACTAACATTAGCTCTGGATGCTGAGATGCCCACAGTGTCTTTTCTGCACATCTGATTACCCTTTTATACCATGTATTGAAGACACAAACAAGCGAGCTTCTGTTGGAGGGTTCTGAGGTCTGCCACTTCTCCTGTCCTCTGAGGCCCTAAGCTCTGCTCCAGTGGGAAGATGAGATTAATGATTCCAGGTCCCAGCACACCCATGAAACATCTGGAGATGCCTTCTTAACCCAAGGCATCTTGGCTGAGTCGTAAGATCCAGAACTGGGAGTCAGAACTCCTGAGTCCACATTTATTGCAAGAACTTCCAGCAGTGAAATCCTGTGGCATTTTCAGACAGGGCTCTGGCCTAAGAGCATCAGGAGTTGGTAGGTAACTCAGTAAATTGCACCAGAGCCACGGTCACCACCAAAATGTGGCACCTTATAGCTGTGCCCTTCTCTGGTGGGAAGTTTTCAAAAGATTACATTTATATAGTTTTTTTTTTTTTAAAGGAATCAATGTCAAATAAAGATTGCTGGATGCTGAATGTACTCATCACCATGGAAATACTACCAAGGATGGCAAGATGACATCGCCTAAATGCATTAATTCTATATTGGGACAGGAAAGATTCTGAGTCACGTGCAAGGATCAGTTAGGAATGTCTGTTATATGAGCAGTAAGTGGAGGTATGAGCATGTGTGTCAGACACCTGGAAGGCAGGATAACAATATGTAAGTGATTACGCTATGCAGTCGGACTGACTTCACATCCAGAGCCTACCACTTGCTAGCTGAGTTATGAAATCTCTTTGTACTTCAGTTTCCTCAGTTGTCAAAGGGCTAGGAGACAAGGTCTACATTACAGGCCATGTACTGGTTTTTAAAAATCAGCTTTATTAGGGTATAATTTACATATGAATTTACCAGTTTTCAGGCATACAATTAAATGAATTTTGGAAAGTATATCCAATTGTGTAACCACCACTACGTAAAACAAGGGGTCCTAAACATCACTGATTCACCACACCCTTAGTATCTCAGTAAACTTTTCACAGTGTCTTCAGACCAAATAACAAAGGTATTTATGTCCTAACAAAGTTAGTAGCCTTTTGGAAAAAAGAATACATTGAAAGTGCCAAAAATGTTTTTATTTCATTCTGAAATAACCAAAACTATTTACTAGCAGGCTGTGTGTGCCTGTTAGCTCTGCACAAATCCTCAAACCAGGGGATCAGACTAAACACTGCTGTCCTCATTTCTCATTCCGTGGGGTTTTAATGAAATAATACTCTCTTCCTGCTTACAGCCTGCCCCCCACCCCCATGGTTAGTCTATACTCAGCAGCTAGAGGGATGCCCATTTCATTTGTAGTAAAAGCCAAAGTCTTTACAATGGTCTATCTTTTGGAAGGTCAGGTTTAGGGGAAAGCCACTTCCAGCTACTTCCTTCCCTGGTGGGAGGGGCGAGGTCAGGTTTCCAGTGAGTGGTGTAAGGCAAGGCAGGAAAGGCTCATTAAACTACCTGCTGCGTGTCTATAAGTGACCTTCTGTGGTCATACCACAGGCCACAGGGCCATGCTCAATTCACCAGCAAGACTGAAACCCCAGCCAGCCAAAGAACAAAGTCCCCATAGCGACCTGACCTTATCCTGGAGTCTAGTGAGGCCCTGGCAGATGCAAATCACAGTCAAAAGAAATCAGATCCTTTCCTCTGGAAATTCCCAGAGATTATGACTTTTGGGGGGAGGGTGGAATTCCAAAGACCTTTCAAATCCTCCAGGGCCTGAGAATTAGGTTTCCTCTTTCCTCCCTTCATTTGTAAAAGGGAAAGGGAAGTAAAACCCAGAGACATTACATGTCACTTCAAGAAAGCTGAAATCGGAAAGACATAAAAGCATGAAAAATGCATGAATCCCAGGTTCTGAGGTAGATGTAAGGAAACTTAGATGAAGATCTAAATTTCCTTTTCTGGTGGAAAGGAAAAGAAACCCTTCCTATTATTAACTTTCCTCGTTCCCATCGGCCCACCTGCCTACCTGTGGTAACCTCCTTGTTCCCCAGCAAACGTCTCATATCTGAAAGTCTGTCCAATACATACACAGTGACAGTGTACACCCTCCTTATATGCATGTTTTCAGGGACTTTCATCTCAGGAGTTCAGAGTTCTCCCATTTCATAGGACAGAGAGGGGCCTCCCAATACAAGGACAGACATCTGAACTAAACATTTAGGGAACCAAGTTCTAGCCCCAACTTGGTCCCTAAATACCTGCGTGACCCCAGTTTAATTAGCATGCCCAAGCTTCAGTTTCCTCATCTATGAATTGAAGACATAGTGTTTTTGACCTTAGCCTCCAGGTGCCTCTGTGTCCTTCCCTCCACCACTGGCCTTTGACCCAGCAGCTGCCACTAAAGCCTGAGGCCAGCAGGGTCCCTCTGGCCCAAGGCAGGGCCCAGTCCATTCCAGTTGCCGGACTGCGGAAGAGCTAAGCAGGACTACTATGCAGGCGACACCACAGCTTCCACCAGCCAACCCTTGCTATGCTCCAGGGGGTGAAATCCAGAATTAATCCCCAATTCCTCCCCGTCCCTCACACACCTGAGCCCCAGAGACACCACCACAACAAATCAAACTGTCTCCATTGCTACCTCTGCCTGCCAAGACTTGCAGCTTAATTGCTGTTAATTGCATTAATTGCATCGCTCTGAAGTGTTAAGACTCCTCCTCCTCCTCCTCCTCCTCCTGGTCTAAGGCAGGGCAAGGGGAAGGAATGAACATCCAAAGCTGCACGAAGCAACCCCCTTCTCCCACTCCTCACCCTCCTACCCCCTCCGTGGCTGCAAGGCTGGAGGTGACACCAGCGAGCCCAGCAGGACAAAGCGTTAAGAAGTGGCTGAGCTTTCTCGATGGCAGCGAAGCCATGAAAGAACTGGGTGGGACCCGAGCCCTAGACCGAAGGAGAAGGCACCAACCCACACGTGCTGGACAGGCCAAGAAAGGGGCGCCCTTCTGGTTCTGGGCACCTTACCCTGTGTCACGCCTAAGACCGTCCCATCTCTCCAGCACCCCTCTCTCGACCGCTCGGGGCCCGCTGCCTCGTGTCTAGAAAGACCCACCCCAGACACCCTTGGCAACCTCCTCTCCCCTCCCCTGGACGCGGCAAGAGGCCAGCCAGCTGCAGGCAGGGGCTGCGCGTTCGAGGAAAAGGTGACTGCTCCCCCCGAGGGCTCGGAGGAGCCGGGTGGACGTGTGCGACACGACCCCGGGCGAGCGGAGCCCGCCGCTGAGGAACAAGCACAGCCCGGGAACTGCGGAGGGGGCAGCCTCACCTCCAAACAGGCCCACCCCGGCGTCCTGAGGCGCCTCGCGTCGGCCGAGCGGGTAGCGGAGGCCTCTGGGAACTCCCACCGGGAGCACGTCCTCCTGCCCGGGCCCCGCACCGCACAAAGCCATTCTCTCGGGGGCCCCTCCGGCCTCCGCCCGCAGCGCCCCTCCCCGGGCTCTGGGCCAGAGCGGGAGGGAGGCGCCCCAGCTGTCAGAGCGGCGGATGCCGTCCACCGCGCCGACCTCAGGCTGCAGCAGCGCCAGAGGAGCGCGCGCCCGCACCGCGGCCCCGAAGGCGGGGCGCCGGGCCCCCGGCCCCTGCGCCAAGCCGACGCGTCCCAGGACAACATCCCCCAAGCCCACGCTCCCGAGCCGAGCCGCAGCGGAGGGCCGCCGGCCGGAGCGCCGCGGGAGCCCAGCGGGGGCGGGGCCCCGGGAGACCCTGCGGCGGTGGGGGCTGGGCTGCCTCCGGCGGCGTCCCCGCGCCCACCTGTCCCCCTCGGGCCTCCCTGACGGGGGCGCGCCTGGAACTTCCCCTCCGAGGCCCCAGACCAACTTTCTGAGGCGCAGGAGGTGCGCGGAGCGAGGAGCCTGTGTGAGGGCGGGGAGCGGGGCTCCGGCCGGGCGCCCCAAGTGGATGAGGCACTGAAGTGCTGGGAGGTGGAAGGGGGCTGGCCCACGCGGACCACCGGCGTCCGGGGCCTGGCCAGCGACACCCCCTGGGCCCCAGGGTGCCCACCGCTCGGGCCGGGGGAGCCGGAAGGGGAGGGCACTGCACCTCAGGCAGCACAGTGGAGGGACCAGGTGGCTTTACCTGTAGTTCCTGAAATTCTCCCTCCAGCTCGTGCCACTCGCGCTCGCAACGCTCCAGCTGGCCCGACATGATGCGGGGGCGCGGGGCAGCGGCGGCGGCTCCCGCAGCGAGGCGCGGCGGGCCACCGGCGCCTCACGGCCGTCCGCTCGCCGGCCGCTTCGGAGGCACCAGCTGTTCCTGCGCTGCCGAAGCCACGCGCGCACCTGACGTCACAGCCCCGCCCCAGCGCCCGCCCCACCCCCTCGCCGGGAGGCACGCGGCGCGCAGACGCAGGCGCTCGCGCCTCCCCGGCCCCGCCCCCGTGTGCCGCGCGCCCGCAGAGTCTCTAGCTTTGCAGGTCTGTCTCTGGCCCCTTGGGAGTGCGTCTGCGCCTCCAGAATCCCTCTTCTAGTTGGGGCTGGGGAACTCGTTCGCAAGCTGCATTTGCAGAGCTTATTTTATTTAAATTAATTAGACTGTGTTTATTTGGGGTGCCCGGGGTCTAGAGGGAGAAGGGTAATTTGGGGGATATGAAAGCGCACCATCCCTTGGCCTGAGCCAAAGCCAGCAGCCTGGAATGCTAGATCTGACATTGACTGTCCAACAAGGTCGCGGAGTAGGGCGGGGAAGTACAGAGAGGGCCCTGTCATCTCACACCGACATTATTTTCTGCAACTAATAACATCCTAGATTCCTGCCCTCTAAGACTCTGGGTGACTATCTTGACAGCTGTTTCTGTCACTCAAACGACACAACCACCTCAAAGTTAATTGAATCCAAATTCCCGTCCCTCAAGATCTGTCCCTGCCTGGCTTCCCGGTCACATCTCTTCTCTCATCCCCATCTCCAGCCGCTGTGTTTTCTCTTCCTGCCCTTGTATGGAACCCGCCCCCCCCCCCCCCCCCGCCACGCCGCCCCTCAAATCTTCACATCGTTTCCTCTTGCTCATCATTCACGCCTCAATTCAAATGATGCCTGTGTTAGTGTCCGAGGGCTGCCCTAACCACAAACTGGGTGGCTTAAACAACAGGAATGTATTCTCTCACAGCTCTGGATGCTGGGAGCACAAAACCAAGGTGTCAGCAGGGACATGCACTCTCTGACTCTGAGACTCTGGGCGCTGGCCGTCAATCCTTCCTTGCTTGGCAATCCTTAGCATGCAGCTGTATCACGCCAATCTTCTGTTATCACATGGCCTTTTTCCTTGTAAGCTGGGCCATTTGGAGAGCTATCCCATTGACTGGTGTCCAGTGTCTTGAGTGAGAAAAAAATCACTTCCTATATTTTTTCTCTTTTTTTTTGTTTTTGTTTTTGTTTTGGGTCAGAAGGTAAATGTGGTGCATTTTATTGCATCTTGGTCAGAAGTAGAAATCAGTCAGCATTACACATTTGCAATTTGGATGATTGTTGTGTAAGTCAGTAGTTTCTTTCTTTCTTTCTTTTGAGTGTATTTCATTGTACGGATGTGTCCCAGTTTTTTTACCCATTCTTTATCCATTCACTGGTTGAGGGACCTTTAAGTAGTTTCTAGTTTGGGTCAATTATGAATAAAGCCACCATAAATATTTATGTCTGTTTTTAAGTTGAAAAAAAGACTTTACATAAAAATCCAGATTTTTCTTTTCTATTGAAAAATGGAAAGGTCTGGTCACACTGGGCTTATTTTGCTGCATGGTAATGGGCTGGAAGAAGTGAGCAGTCTCCCCTTCACGTGGACTCACCAGTTGCTGCAGTCCTCTGCATGCTCTATCATGTTGCCCCGTCCTGCCTCATGTGTCTGTGTAACCTGTGGCCCTGGAGACATTGACGTCTGAGAGGCCCAATCTATTGTGTCCTGAAGATTGCAAAACCAGCTAAAATACTCAAATGGTGATAAAACAGAAGACGGTCTATTTCATTGGGCTTAGTAGAATCATGAAGAAAACACAGGGCCTTGAAGAATGAATAAATTGTCACCAAGCAGGGAGTTGGGAAGAAGAAGCCCCTTCGCCTCTGCTTGCAGTTGCTCAATCCTAGCAGGTCCGTCAGCCCCAGGTTGCCCCTGAGCAGGAGAGGCTGGCCCGGCCCCTGAGAGAAGTCTGGGAAGGCGCGCCTTATCTGCAGGTGTCTGCAGGCTGCCTGGCAGGCAGGTTGCAAATCTAAGGGACTGCTCTCTCTGTGGGGTCAGACTGCACATGTATCATTCACAAGCCCCTCCGTAGGTGGCACAGGCTGGCCACCCCCATTGTGTAGTCGCTCAAGTGCCAGAAGTATCAGATCTTACCTGGCTGCCACCCTGTCGCTGTTCCTGCCCAAAGCACCCTCAGGCTCACTCATCAGTTCCCTGGGACTGGATCTTGCTCTTCTTGAAGACTTTGATCTTGGTATGTGGGGAAGTGTGTTACAAGGTTATCATCCCCATCCTCTGCCCACACCACCAGGGGAATCTTCCCTAAGTCTCTCCACTTAGGGCCCTGCCAGCAGAATTTGCTCAGCCAGCTGCCGAGAGTCATGAAAGTAGCAACACACAGTGCTCACTAGGTACCTGGTGCTCTTCTATATGCTTTATGTGTGTGTATTAATGCATTGAGTCTCACAATGACCTTGTGGGAAAGAGCCTTTATTATCCATACTTGACAGATAAGTACTCTAAGGCATGGTATCGCCCACTTTTAACGCGCTCATGAACCACGTCCTGCAGATCTTGTTAAAATGCTGGTTCTGATTCACTAGATTCTAGGAAGGGCCTGAGATCCTGTAATTCTTCAAGCTCCAGCCGCTACTGGCTGGAGGACACACTTTAAATAGCAAGAAACAGCCCTGGCCGGGTAGCCCCGTTGGTTAGAGCATTGTCCCAATACACCGAGATTGTGGGTTCATTCCTGGTCAGGGCATATATAAGAATCAACCAATGAATGCATAAATAAGTGGAACAAAAAAGAAAAGAAAAAGAAAATTCCAGGGACTTTTCCTCCATCCTCTTCCCACAGATGCCCTTGCTCAAAAATAGTCCCAAGGATTCTAACAAGCAATTTGTGTGAAGACATTTATAGCAGCACTTTTCAGATCAGTCACACACTGGAAACATCCCAAGTGCCCCACAACAGGGAGGTGGTTAAGTAAGCCATAGTCTGTCCATTTCATGTAATACTATATGGCTGTTAAAATAATCATTATGGGAACTAAATGTATGCTTGTAAACAGGTATATGAAATCATAGTAAGTAAAAAAGTAGAAAACCCAAAGTAATGTGTGTATACTGGTTATACAATCATTTGCATACCTTGAAAAAGACTGGGTGGATTTAGTGTAACAGAAATCGTTCATAGGATCAATTGATGGAATTTTTATTTCCTGAAAGGCTGTGCAGGTGTTTAGAAGAAACTTTAAACCCCTATGTTACTGTTGACAGGTGTAGAATATAATGGAAACAGCAAGTATTATCTACTAAATGTCATTTGTTTAACATTTACTCTTCAGGTATCAAGATGTCCTTTATGTCCTTATTGTTATTTGCATTACTGGACCTACCTGGAACTAACTGGGGCTATGTGCTTCGTCTGGCCCAGTCAGACAGATCTGAGTTCAGATCTCAGTTCATGGCCTGACCAGTGTGGCTGAGTGGGTTGGGTGTCGTCCTACTAAGCCAAGGATCCCCCGTTGGATTCCTGGTCAGGGCACATGCCTGGGTTGTGTGTTTGGTTTGAGAAGCAGTCAATCAATGTTTCTCTCCCTCATTCCCCTCTAAAAAATTTTTTTAAAAAAACTTTTTTAAAATCCTCAGTTCTACTGCCTGCTGAGCACACAATCCTGAGAACCCAATTCACCTTATCTACAAGCTCAAGTCATCCTGGAAGGAACGCTGTGAGAATTAAATGTAATGAATGATGTAAAGTGCCTGGCAATATGTAAGCACCAGAAAGCACTGACTTCATATGTCTGGGTTTTTTTAAAGATATTTTATTTGGGAATATTTTTAGATTTACAAAAAACCTGTAAAGACAGTATAGAAAGTTCCCACCTACTCATCACTCATTTCCCCTAATGTTGACAGTGTACATAAACATGACACCTTTGTCAAAATAAAGAAATGAACATAGGTATATTACTGGCAACTAAACTTCATACTTTAGATTTTACCAGTTTTCCCACTCATGTTCCAGAATTCATTGTGACATTGCATTTAGGCGTCAGGTCTCCAGAGTCTCCTCTGGTCTGTTATTGTATCTCAGCCTTGACCTTGACTGTTTTGAAGGGTCATGTATACTTTTTAATAATAGCTTCTTGAAATATTGTGATGGTTAATTTTATGTGTCAATTTGACTGGGCCATGTGATACCCAGATATCTGGTTATTCTGGGATTGTGTGTGAGGCTCTTTCCAGAAGATTATTTTAATGGTAGACTGAGTAGATTACCTCCTTCAATGTGTGTGTGTGTGTTGGGGCGGGGGGGGGGAGTGGTACACAATCGGTTGAGAGCACGAAAAGACAGAGAAAAATTCTCTCCCTCCCTCTCTGTGCCTGATCTTGGAGCATGGGTCTTCTCTCCACAGACTGGGACTTACACCATTGGCACTCCTGGTTCTCAGGCCTTGAGACTCAAAATGTAGAACTACACATTTTGTTTATCCATCACCAGCTGATGGACATTTGGGCTGTTTCCACTTTTTAGTTATTATAAATAGTCCTGCTATGGATATTCATATACAAGTTTTTATGTGGGTGTATGTTTTCTTTTTTCTTACACTCAGCAGAACTGCAGGGTTAGATGGTGACTGAGTTTAACATTTTGAGGAACTGTCAAACTGTTTTCCAAAGCATACCATTTTGTACTCTCAGTAATGTATGAAGGCTCCAATTTCTTTTTAAATACTTTATTTATTTATTTTTAGAGAGAGGGGAAAGGAGGGAGGGAGGGAGGGAGAGAAGCATCAATTGGTTGCCTCTTGCACGCCCCCAGCTGGGGACCTGGCCCACCGTCCAGGCCTGTTTCGACTGGGAATGGAATCAGCAGCTTTTTGGTCTGCAAGCTGGTACTCAATCCGACTGAGCCACACTAGCAAGGGAATCCACATTCTTTTATTTTTAAAGGTTTTATTTACTTATTCTTAGAGAGAAGGGAGGGAGAAAGAGAGAAAGAGATACATCAATGTGCGAAGGAAACATTGATTGGTTGCCTCTCACGTGCTCCCTGACCAGGGACCAGGCTGCAGCCCAGTCATGTGACCTGACCTGGAATC